GATCAGAAATGAGGGTATCTCGAATATGGAGGACGGGGGCAGGATGGGGGGGATGTTTGCCTGATAGTTTATGGATTCGGCGCCAAACATTTGAGATAGATGTAGAGGATGTAATTGATGAAACATAATTTCGCCAGCTATTTGTTTTACTATTCCGGATTGTACGACGAAGACAGGCAGATGCTCTTTTAAAGGAGATAAGGGCTGATAGTTGATTTGGAGTACCTCTCTTGTAGCGGTAACTGTTCCAGGCTGCACGTTCTAAGCGAAGTGCTTTAGTGCAATCAGAATTCCACCATGGAACACATTTAGAGGTATATGGTCTTGAGGTTCGAGGGATAGCTGTATGTGCAGCTCTTAAGACTGTAGTTGTGAAACACTGTATCATTTCTGAAATGGAGGTGATGGAGGATGGAGGGGTATGAATAGCAGAGAGTGAAGTGAAAGTATGCCAGTCGGCTCTATCAAAGCACCAGCGTGGGGAGTTAGGAAGTGGTACGTATGAAGTAGTAGAAAGGAGAACTGGAAAGTGGTCACTATAGGGAAAGTGGTCTAAGACTGACCAGTGGAAATCTAAATGAAGAGAAGGGGAGCATAGAGAGAGGTCAATGCATGAAAAAGATTAAGTGCCTGTATCAAAGTGTGTGGGGCGATCTGAATTTAGAATAGTAAGGTCAGCTGTGGAGAGGAAGCGCTCTAGAGATCGGCCTCGGGAGTTGGTAATAGAATCACCCCAAAGAGTGTGGCGGCAGTCAAATTCGCCAACTATGAGGAAAGGTGGTTGAAGTTGGGAAATTAGATTTTCAAAAGCTCTTTTAAAGGAGATAAGGGCTGATAGTTGATTTGGAGTACCTCTCTTGTAGCGGTAACTGTTCCAGGCTGCACGTTCTAAGCGAAGTGCTTTAGTGCAATCAGAATTCCACCATGGAACACATTTAGAGGTATATGGTCTTGAGGTTCGAGGGATAGCTGTATGTGCAGCTCTTAAGACTGTAGTTGTGAAACACTGTATCATTTCTGAAATGGAGGTGATGGAGGATGGAGGGGTATGAATAGCAGAGAGTGAAGTGAAAGTATGCCAGTCGGCTCTATCAAAGCACCAGCGTGGGGAGTTAGGAAGTGGTACGTATGAAGTAGTAGAAAGGAGAACTGGAAAGTGGTCACTATAGGGAAAGTGGTCTAAGACTGACCAGTGGAAATCTAAATGAAGAGAAGGGGAGCATAGAGAGAGGTCAATGCATGAAAAAGATTAAGTGCCTGTATCAAAGTGTGTGGGGCGATCTGAATTTAGAATAGTAAGGTCAGCTGTGGAGAGGAAGCGCTCTAGAGATCGGCCTCGGGAGTTGGTAATAGAATCACCCCAAAGAGTGTGGCGGCAGTCAAATTCGCCAACTATGAGGAAAGGTGGTTGAAGTTGGGAAATTAGATTTTCAAAAGCAACAAAGTCAATGGGGTGGGAAGGGGAGAAGTAGACTGAAAGCACTGATCCAACGATGAAGGAAGATACGAATAACTGCAAGGGACATTGGTTTGAAAGGGAGGTGTGACATAAGGTGTTTTCTGATTGATAAGTATGGACGAGACATAAAGGGAATGTGGGGAAGAGACAATGATAATTGGGGATTGGTATTGGAGGATGTGTAAGAAAGGTTTCTTGAAGGCATACAATAGATGGGTTATAAGAGGAAAGGATATGACGAAGGTCAGGTCTGTGGGAGCGGAAACCGTGAATATTCCAATGAAGGATAGTTATACTTTCGTTGATTTATAGATTGCAGTACATGTTGGAGAATTTGAGGGGGAAGCAGCTAGAGGGTGGGATAAGGATTGAGAGGTTTGAGATGGGAGAGGTGTGGGAGTTGGTGTTCTATCAGGAGGGGTATTAGGAGATGGAGGGTCTGAGGAAGGGGATACTTGTGACATAAGGGATTCGCGTGTGTATCCAGGAGGGAGTGGAAGGGATAGAGGGGATGGTGGGAGGGTTAATGTGGGCGGGGTTGGGGTCGGGGTCGGGGGGGATGGGCTGTGTTGGGAGGGGGTAGGAGGATAGGGTGTAGGGGGGATATCGTTAGGAGGAGGATGGATATCAGCAGTTACTTGAAGTGTGGAAGGAGCAGGAGTTGTAGGTGGAGTGTCAGTTTTCATTAAGTAATCTTGAATATGTGAGTTGGTTGGGGAGTTTTGGGGGATAAAGGATTTCTTGTGAGGGGGGGAAGAGAGGACTGGTGTCTCAAGAGTAGGGGCAAAGGATGGTGGAGGTGATTGTGTGGTAGGGGAAGAGGGGGTGGAACGTTTGTTCTGTCTGTTACGGGTAGTGCGAGGAGGGAGAGGGGAAGGTGTTGGGGTTGTAGTGGTGATTGGAGTATCTGTAGTAGAGACTGGAGTGTCTGGATTTAGGATGGCAAAAGAGTTTGACTGGGGAAAGGTAGGAGGTAGAAGTGGGGGAGTTAGATGTAGGAGGGGTGGGTTTAGGAGAAGTGGTAGAATGAGCAGTATTACTGGAGTAAGGAGTACGAGAGAATCCACGTCGACGTGCTTTCTGTCTGGCTTCACGTAGTGTGAGTCCAAGTTTGAATCTGCGAGTTGCTACCTCAGATTCAAATTTGTAGGTGGGACACCCTCTATAAATACATTATGGGGGGTATCACAGTTGGCACATGTGCGTGATTGTGCAGAGCAGTTAGATCGGGTATGGCCAGGTTGGGCACATAGTGGGCATCTGGCTGTGGAACGGCAATGTTTGGCTGGGTGTCCTAGACGCCAACAATTTTGGCACTGACGTGGAGGTTGGTATGGACGAACAGGGAGGGATTCTCCTCTTATGTAGACGTTATAGGGAAGGTCATGTCTACGGAAAGTAATTTTGGCGATGTTAGTGGGTTTTTTACGATGACCTCTGGGAGGAATGGAGTAGCATTGTACTGATGTCGCATCATAGTCTGCGAGACAGGCAAGTAGGTCTTCTCCACAATCTGACCAATCTGACCAATCTTTGTCATAGATTGGGCAATTTGCTGGGGAGATTGAAACTGTTCCGGTGCAAGTATTAAGGGTTAGATGGGGTTCTGCAAGGATGGGGTTACCATATAGGTCAGTTAGTTTTGTTAATGCTATAGCTTGGTTTTCGGATGTTACTGTGACAAGACGGGAGTGGTCGGGTCGGCTACGGAAAGAGACTTTGCCTACTTGTTTTTGGAGATATTGTTGGAAGAGAAGGGTTACCAGAGTAGGGGAAGCTGTGGGAGGGAATCAAGAAAAATCGGTCCCGTTTGGCTGCGCTAAAGAGAGTATTCAAGATTGTTGTAGAGATTGGGGTAGTAGAAGGGCGGGGGCGTGACGAAGATGGAGTAGTGTTGAGGGAGGTAGTGTTATGGAGAGGTGGGCTATAAGGCTGTAAGGTATTAATAAGGGAGGATGGGGTGGTTGATGTTGGAGGTTGTGGGGGTAGAGGTGTTGAAGTTGAGCATGCTGGGAGAGTGGAAATGTTCCTTGAGAGTTGATTGTTGGCTACTGTACTAGTAGGCATTGATGAGGGGGTAGTTATTGCAGTGTTCGGAGCCGTGGTCAAAGGAGAGCCTGGGGTCAGGGAATCGGGTGGGTTTACTTCCTTGGGGCTATTTGATAAAGGGGCAAGCCTCATTGCCCCTAATAGTGGGGATATGTTTTCATTATTGGCCATGGTAAGCCTGGATTATGTTGGGGCTAAAAACAGTCCACCCCTAAGGGTCTCCTTGAGGGGTAACTGGCTAGGTAACTAAATCAGGGGAATACCGTGACCATGGCTCCCTCATGCCGTTCGGGACTGGCACAAAGTCAGCCTTTCATCCTTTCAGCACGGCTCTCACACCTTAGGAAGTGGATAGCAAAAGGGTTTGGTGAAGGGACAAACGAAAAGTGGGAAGGGAAAAAAATGCAAAATTAGTCGAGTCAAGGGCCGAGTCCCAAGTTGGGGAGTTCCCCATCATTGGGTCCCAGTCTCCGCCTCCTAAGCCCCCCCACGACAACAACGGGCAAGGGATTGTGGGGGGGTGGGGAGGGGGGGGTAGTGAGATTGGAGGGTGCTTGTGGGGTTTGTGTCGATTTGGGTTTAGTTTTGAATATCTTAAGGAGTTTCTACAATGGAGTTGGTTTGGGAGTTTAAAAAGTTTTCTTAAGGCCAAGGGCGACAGGTGTATGAGTAGAGTAAGAGTTAGGTGGATATTTTCTGCTATGTAATCAACAATATTACCATTATATCAATAAAGTTGTTGACGGCATCTGAAGCCATCACTGCCAGGTTGCAAAGCCTCTATCGGCAAGTGAGCAGCCGATGTTCCCTCAATAGTCATCTAATTATTTGGTAATCAGGGACCCTCATTCCATGCACAATTCTTGCCGGCTCACATCCAACAGCCACAGGAAAGCTTGGTGTTCACCCAGCTATCAGACTTGAGTGAACAGAATAAAAAGTACCTCCATTTACAAGAAGAGCTCACTAGTGGATGGTAACCCTGGCCATTCCTTGCATAAAGGATAATATAGAAGCAAAATAAAAGGACAGTGTCACACCAAGAATATCCATTCTAATAAATGGAATCAAATTAAATTATCATAATTATTATAGTAATCTAGTATGAAATAAGTTGTGTAAGAGCCTTTCAGATATTGTTTTACTAAATATTTTGACACCTTTCAATCTCCACCAAAATTCTACTCATTACTATTTACTTCTGGAACATTCTTAAAACAAAGGCGCATAGATATCCACATTTATTGCCGCCGAGTGACAATCGGTTAATGATGTACTGGTGTGTACTAGTACAAAAATTGATAAGAATTAAATTACCCAATAGTATGTAACTTATGTTATGTACAAGTTATCCTTTGGTCTTGAAGGAACAAGATTTCCAAGATTCACAGTAAGTCCTACTGACAATAAATCTACAAATTAAAATTAGTCCTCAGTTCTCAGGTACATTTTTTTTTAAAAGCTACTTTCCAAAGGACCAAGAAAATATCAGTTTTTCACTTAGAGATTTTTATTTAGTTAATCTTCTGAGCCAGCCTGCGGTCGCGCTCCTCAGCAATGCTGAGCTTCACACCCTTGCCTCTTGGAAGGGAGATGTATGCCTTGGTGCCCTTGCCGATCACGAACACGTTGTTCAACCTGAAGAGGAAATTATGGATTGAAATTTTACTGGACAGGAGACTTTAGGCTTATTGCCTTTCCTGCATTTACTTTTCTGAAAAGACCAATTAAAATGTTAACTTTCTCAAACAGAACAATATGATAGCAGGTATGAGGTATTAAGATGAGCACAACAGTGTGCAAACCATTCAACAGATACTGAAATTGAGGCTATATTAAAAAAAAAATTACCAAGATCAAATTTGTAGTTTTACCCATGTACTTAAAATGCAAATTCTGAATAAATCCCTTCATTAATAAACAAATTTAATCTTTATACTATGCATATAGCCTTCAAATCAGACCTGCAGACCTTTTACCAGCTCATACACATTTATACTACTAAAATTCATACCAAGTGCATGTCACCATGTTGGGTAATGCTGAAAGAATACCTAAAACCCTGCCAGCGACCGTCATGGTTTTGTTTCTCTCGCTTCTTTTTTGACCACCCAAGACCTCAGGAGTGCAAAGGGTGGCTTCGATGTGAAGCTGGATTCAACTTGTGTTAAGTAGCAAGTTTTTCTTCACACGCACACACACACGACTATACACACACACAACATATCACACACACACAGATACACACACACACACATATACACACACCACATTACACCACACACATATACACAACAACACACACACACACATTACCACACACCAGGAGCACACACACACACATATAACACACACACACCCACAACCATATACACATCGACACACACACAGCACACCCCCCTATACACACACACCACACATATACACACTACACACACATATACACACACACACAATATACACACACACCAAAACACACACATATACCCGAAACCACACACACACACATATACACCACACACACACACAGACACACACACACAATATACACCACACAACACACTACACATAACAGATACACACACACACACATATACACACACACACACATATACACACACACACACATATACACACACACACACATATACACACACACACACATATACACACACACACACATATACACACACACACACATATACACACACACACACATATACACACACACACACATATACACACACACACACATATATACACACACACACACATATACACACACACACACACATATACACACACATATACACATATACACACACATATACACATATACACACACACACACACATAACATACACACACACACACACATACACACACACACACACATACACACACACACACACATACACACACACACACATACACACCCACACACACATACACACAACACACACACATACACACACACACATACACACACACATACACACACACACACATACACACACACACACACACACACACACACATACACACACACACACATACACACACACCACATACACACACACACATACACACACACACACATATACACACACACACATATACACACACACATATACAACACACACATATACACACACACACATATACACACACACACATACACACACACACATATACACACACCACATATACACACACACACATATACACACACACACATATACACACACACACATATACACACACACACATATACACACACACATATACACACATATACACACACATATACACACATATACACACACACATATACACACATATACACACCACACACCACACACACATATACACACACACACATATACACACACACACATATACACACACACATACACACACATACACACACACACACATATACACACACACATACACACACACTATTCCTTTATTAATTTTCTTCTATAATTCTAACACTGAATTCAAACTTTTGCAACTAGTGGTTTCAAATGTTATAAATCCATAGAACTGACTCCACAAATATACAATGGGTTAGGAATCTCTTCACAATCCTGACTATCAAAATTTCTGATCTGAATTTTCATTCAGAAACTCTACCTTATCAAAGCCTATCCATTAAAAATATTTTATACTTATTGGTAAAAATACAGAAAAGCAATTCTTACCTGGTGGCGAAGGTGTGGCCAACAGAATCCTTAACATGAACAATATCGAAGCTACCAGCATGACGCTCACGGGACACAATGGTGCCCACACGACCCATGTTACAACCAGATGTGATCATGCAGAGGTTGCCTGTAAAAAATAGGCACTTCATTAATGCATTGAAAAGTTCTCAGTAATATACTATATAGTCAAAAACCTAGTTTGATTGTACTCAAAATTAATAAAGATAAAGTACCAAAATTATGTTGCCATGTTGGGTAATGCTGAAACAGTACCTACAACTTCTTCAGCGACCGTCATGGTTTTTTTTATCTTGCTTCTTTTTTGACCACCCAAGACTTCAGGAGTGCAAAGGGTGGCTTCGATGTGAAGCTTTATTATAAAGTTCTCTCACAAGATTGTTTTATGCATGTACATTTCATTTAACATTTTTCTTTCCCCTTTGATGGCTAAAGTTGCCCCCCCCCCCCAAAAAAAAAAAATCTTTGTCAAAAAGAACAACCATTTTTCTACAATTTTACCAATATCTTAATTCTAGAGGGTGGCAGATGAAAAAGTTAACCCATGGCACTCGGGTATAGGGACATTAATTGGTTGTGTTTTTGGCCTTAGCTTAAGATTAACATGGAATACTATAGAGCCAGCTTGCTACTCAATGTTATCAACCCTTGAGACTGATGTATGGCAAATAACTGATATCAAACTTCTCAAATAGTATGCACAGCATAGCAAGCCATACTTTGCCTCTGGATGCAAGAGATTAACACACATCAAGCATTATAATCATCATGAAAGAGGTTACATTTATACAAATTTACGCTGTGGCAAAATGTAAACATTGTAAATCTATTTTCTCCGCCAGGTGAATTCTTTAAGAAAATACGCAAGTGAAAGACAGAAATAAGACCACAATATCCGAGAAATACTCCTTTCTAATCAGCAGCTTTAGTGGGCTTGCTGGTAAAGGGGTACTAGATCTTTTCTCTGCTGCAGATGTTTGAACAATTACAAGAATGTCTTAGCACAAGATACAATGTCAAATTACCTGTATCAAACTTGATCAAATCCTTCATCTTCTTCTTCTCAAGATCAAAGAGGATGGAGTCATTGATCTTAATGATGGGGTCAGGGTAGCGCAGGGTGCGGCCATCCGAGGTCGTCAGGTAAGGGACCTTCTTGGGGCCAACACAAACCTTTGTAACCTTGCAAAGCTTGTACTGAAAGAAAAAAGGAGAGTGATGTTAGTTCATGGGATGTTCAATTTCCTAACATAATGAAGCTCAAATTCCATAAAGAAAGTTACCTAGTACCCATACTTGAGACAACTGTTCTATACACAATATTAACCAAAAGCACACTTTTAGTGTCACCATGTTGGGTGATGCTGAAAGGGATTGGTTTAGCCATCAGTGACTCAGCAATTCCTCTTGCTTCATTGTTTAAGCATACAAAGCACTTAGTTCATTTATATCTTCAATTATCTTCCATTTTCAATACTATACAATACTAAAAAATGTACATTTCATATTTAACCCTTGACGGACAAGTCAAGTCAAACCACATGGTCTGCGAGTACAGCTATACACCCAGCGGCTGGACAATGCCAGAAATCACCTGAATTTATGACACCTAGAGATTTTCTGATACCCATCAGCATTATGTTAAACTGCACCAGTTAGCATAGGCATCTGCACAGATGAAAAAATAAACAACTGCCCTGCCCTCTATGTTCTTGGGTGGGAAAGAAAATATAGATTATAAGGTTAAAACATGGCTGTAAGCCCCTACCTTAAATTGAGTTGGTGCAGTAAGTTGCCTCTTTTAGATGCTGTTAATATTTTGTAAATAATGAACATTTAAGAATATCCTGAGGAATGAGCAAGACCACAATATTTCCTCAAAAACCTTTCCAAATTGTGGTCGACTGAGCATAAACACAAGCATTAATCGAACAGTAAATTCTTTTTCAGTCAACCTTATATACTTATGCAAATTCTAACATAGGGATTCAAAGGATGGGAGGAAATGAATATATTTACATTTGTAGTCCCTACTGTGTGTATGTGGGGGGGGGGGGGGGGGTGGGGGGGAGTCTCAGCTCGGAGACTAGTGGTCTGTCATCTTCAATATCACTGTGGGCCTATATCAGAAGCTGCCAGGGGTACACTACCCTAAAGTGTCTCCAGACAACTAAGCTAAAACAGCCAGCAGGTTAAGTAACTCACATTGGAAATACCAATCACATCACTACTAGAACAAGCCATTCTCAGACATCTTATGGTAACCTATCAAAACTAAAGTTTAGCATTTCTTACCTTGGCTTCCTCATCAGTGATGCGGTGAGCAATGAAACGACCCTTAACGTCATAAAGGATACGGAAGTGTTCCCCAGTCTTCTGGATGCTCACCACATCTGCAACAAAATAATGGTTTCAGCACAGCCTTAAAGATTACTCCTACTGGACACACATTAAAAAATAAGGTTTCTTTAAAACAAGAACACTAAGTTATATCCTACACTAGGTATAAATGAAAAAAAATTGAAGTGTAACCATGTTGGGTAATGCTGGAAAGGCTATGTGTAGTCCTATCAGCGACCGTCAGGGTAGTTCCTCTCGCTTCATTTTTTGACCACACAGAAGACTTGGTGACTTCATGTATGCCTTCGATAGAAGCATGTCTATCCTAAATTTCTCCTCAATATCTAATACAGGACATTTCGGGTAATGATACCGAGTGACGCACAAAGTTTTTAATGTCGCCTTTATGATTTGGAATGAAATACTAATAAATGGGGGTACAGGGGGATTGCCACCCTATAAATAAGTTACAGCCGGTCCGTGTTTAAAGCCCTCATAAAATAACGCTTGATCTGCAGGGTACAGCCATACGAGTGGCTAAATGCTATAGCCCATTCAGCAGGAAGTTTGGCTACAGCCAGAAACCAGAGCATGATGCCATGAGATTTCTAATATAACTGATGGATTAAGGCAATAAACAGGAGGTAGGAAACCTTAGGTTTGCATTTTTGGATTAGCATGATAGCCTGGTTTTAGGAGATCTTTGGTGAGTGCGACACTCAGTTACAAATACCAATATTTTGATGTAATGACCTTAACTATACACCTTGGTGACAATACCCAAACACCTGCTCATCTACCGTCTTAATCTTAGTCATACACAGACAAAAGTGCACTAACTTACTGTACATACTGTTAAATGAAATTCCTAAATACTGACAACTTACCTTTAAAAGCCCCCAACTGTACCATTTACTATTTATGTAACATGAAAAACTTGTAAATTATAATTGGGTCCCCTCCCAATTGCTAGATTTCCCTAGCCAGTGTGATACTTTAACCTTGCAAACCCCAAAAGTGATTTGGAAAAATTCAGTCCAAATACTATATTCAATGCTTACTTGCATAATATGCAAGCACACCATTTTTTTTTTAACCTGCATATGGATAATTGGACCATATGGCATGAGTATGTAAATTTCTTTAAAACCTAGCATGCATTGGTATACTAACAGCCCCTCCCCCCCCCCCCCTCTTCTTCATGTTGCCAGCTGAGTAATCTTAACAACGTTCCACCTGCTACCCAGCAAGTTAACCCTTGCTTTCTTGAGGATGTGGTCCTATAATGAATAAATACCACAATGGCTTTAGAATACACACCCATGAACCCAGTGGGGTAGTTCTTGTCCGTGCGGATCTTGCCATCAACACGGATAAGCCTCTGCATGGTGATCTTCTTGACCTCATCGTTGGTGAGTGCGTACTTGAGTCGGTTACGTAGCAGGATGACAAGGGGAAGGCACTCACGCCTCTTGTGAGGGCCAGTGGAGGGTCTGGGGGCAAAGACACCTCCCAACTTGTCCAGGAGCCATGACTTGGGGCGCACACCCGCTTGCAGTGGTGCTTTGGTCCTCGCTGGTGGGGGGCAAGAGTAGCAATTAGAGAAAATTTAGGTTTTCCATTCTTAAAATACGTTTGATAAACTATGCAAACACCACACAATATGTATGATTATTACTTTATCAATAATTAGTATCCAATTACAGTAACATAGGATAAAGCCACAAGTTTAATTCTCATGGAGTGTTTCCATGTTGGGTAATGCCAGAGAGAACACAAGTCCAATTAGCGACCGTCATGGGACTTTCTCTTGCTTCATTTTTGAACATGAGAAGACTAGAAAGTCTAAACACGTCTTCGATGAGAAGCTTGCAACATCAAAGTAACCAACTTTGTAATACAAATACACATTTAATTGTCTGCCCCCAAAATCCCTGAAACCCAAATACACATCCCAAAGGAGGAGATTCTTTGAAAGGGGAAGTACATTTACATTATAAAGATATCTACCCAATTCCAACTGATATAGGAGAGGTACTCCAGTCTTTATTTACACAACTTAAAATCTGATATAACAATACAAAAATGAATATTTCTTGCAATAGTTTCACGTAAATTTTATGTCAAATCTTTTACTTGGTTCACTCTAGGTAAATAGGATCGCCATCCAAATGAAACGAGACGGAAATCGGGGCTAACATTTCTCTGCTGAAACGATCACATTGTAAACAAGGGAGAACACGAGTGCTGGACATTATCAATGGATTCACTTATGTGCACCCCAAAATTTAATTAAATATCCTTTCATAATCATGATTCCTGCACAAATTCCAGTCCCCACTCATATGGATACTTCTTGAACAAGCAGAGATACGAACACGTTAGGAAATGATCTCGTGTGTTTCGGCCTCTCGCCGACATGGATCCCAACACCATGTAAACATTAAAATTATTCGCCCGATATTTCTTCCATCCAACACTTCCACCATTTCTTAGCTTCACGAGTCTCTTTCTCATTTCCTCTGGATTGTATTCTAATAATGAACTTCCTCCATTGTGCAGAACTTCACTGATTTTTGGATAAAACGGACGTAACTGCGGACACTCACCACATGTTTCTGTCTGAGAGGTGAAAGAAGGAAAGAAAGATGGCGCTGGCGGCGACGACTCTGAGGGACCCTGGCAATAAACCAAAACCCAACAACTGAGAATGTGTTTTACATCTTGGTTTTATATCCATGTAATTGTAAACATTAAATATATATTATAATTTTGTGGCTTACTGTTACAATTTCTTTGGTAAACTTTAGTTTCAAGATACTTGTTGGTTGCATAGGGACCATTCGGATATGAGAGCATTTAATTTTCATCATATTTTATTATTTTCATATATAAGTTTGTGTAGAACATTCACCGAATATTGC